CCCCCCCCCTCTGACCGGGAGGGGGGTAATTCCCGCCCGCCCCCAGCCCTGGTGCCGCGGGACCCTGCGCGCGGGAGCAGCCCCTCCCCCCGGGGTTTTAACCCCCGCGCGCTGCCCCGCGTCACAGCGCCCCTGGCACGCGCAGCGCGGGGGGAGGGGCATGTAGCCGGCGGCCCCAGCAGCGGAGCAGCCCCTGGGGGCGGGACCTGTCCCACTTCCGGCCGCCGGGGCTGCCCCCTGACAGGCGCTTCCGGCCCCGCCATGCGGATCCGCGTGTAGCGACGCAGCCCGACGAGGGGCGGGGCTAAGGCCAGCCACAGGCACTGCCCGGGCGGGGTGGGGGTGGGGACGCGGTTTCGCGCTACAGACACGAGTCTCCCTAGCACGGCGCATGCGTGAGGCGAGGGGCTCCCGCGGCTCCCACACGGTCACTTCCGGCGCGCAGGAGAATATGCTTCCGGGTCACGCCCTCCTCCCCCCGCAGTCTGGGCACGGCTCTGGTGTCCGGTGAGTGGAGCTGGCCTGGAAGTCCCGCCCCCCTAAGCCCCGCCCCTCTCGGCCCCAGCCGGGAACCCCGCCCCCTCATACCCCTGGAGCCCCATCCCGGGTGCGACCCCCCCTCAAACCACGTGCACCGCCCCCCCCCCCCCCCCGCGCCATGTCCACGCTCTTCCCCTCGCTCTTCCCGCGCGTCACCGAGTCCCTCTGGTTCAACCTGGACCGGCCCTGCGTGGACGAGAACGAGCTGCAGCAGCAGGAGCAGCAGCACCAGGCCTGGGTGAGCGGCGGGGTCCCGCGGGGGGCGCTGCCCCTGGGCCCAGGGACCGCCCGGGCTCCGCCGGGCCTGGGGAGCGGGGCCGCCTTCGAGGGAGATGTAAAACCAAGGTCCTGGGCTCCTGTGGTCGTTAGATGCCCCCTGGCAGTTGTGTTGTGAGCCCCAGGGCCGGTGGGTGATCGGTGCAAATTCACAAAAAGAGCAGGAGTCCTTGTGGCCCCTTAGAGACTAGCAAACTTATTTGAGCCTAAGCCTTCGTGGGCTACAGCCCACTTCATCGGATGCATAGAACAGAGCCTGTAGTAAGACGAGATCTATACCTACAGAACATGACACGGTGGGAGTAGCCATACCAACTCAGCGGGAAAAAAACAAACCTTTGTAGTGATAATCTCCATGGCCCATTTCAGACAGTTGACAAGAGGTGTGAGGATACTTAACGTGGGGAAATAGATTAACTCTAAGGTGCCACAAGTGGTCCTGTTCTTTTTGCGGCTATAGACTAACTCGGCTGCTATTCTGAAACCTGTGTAAATTCAGCCTGTGGTTTCAGTTGGATCCAGTCTTCTCCACTTGCTGGCCTAAGCACATAACACAAGGCAACTTTTTAAACAGCTGCCACCCAGAAGTGGCTGCATTTCAGCGGCACTTTATCCTTCAATCTTTCGTGACCCAAGCGCTCCAGATTACTTAGCAGCTGGCATAATGGATCAGACAATTGTTCCATCTACTCTGGCGTCCTGCCTCTGCCAACGGCCACTCCTGGATGTTTTAAAAGAAAGGGTATAGCCTTATTGCGCAATACCTTCCCAGGGAAAACCAAGGCTGATTTTTATCCCCCTCAGACAGTTGATTTGCAGGGTACTGTGCCGAGGCGTTGTGTAGCATCAGCTTTTTCAGACTGACTTTCCTCTGGCTGTTTTCCCCCCCAGCTGCAGAGTATTGCCGAAAAAGACAATAATTTGGTCCCTATAGGAAAACCTGCCTCCGAGGTAAGAATCCTGGCGCCCTTTTCCTGTGCTGTAGGGTTTTGGTTGTTAAGATCTGGAGGTTGTGCGGTTAACAATCCAATGTGCTGGGTTTTTAACTGGCTAAACAGGTGCACATAACTTCCTGCTGAGGATTCTGGGTAGTGTAGTCCAGTAGAGCGCTCACCTGTGCTGAGTAGTACTATAACTACAGCCCCATGAAATTATTGTTATTGGTTTTTTTGCGGGGGGGGGGGGGGGGGGTTTTTGTTTTGTTCCATTTTATCCATGGGGGGGTCGGGGGGAATTGGGTCTTGCCCCTGGGGGGAGGTGGGAAGCCCAGAGGGGGCGGGGCATTGGGTCTTGCGTGGTGGGGAGAGACCCAGGGGGGTTGCAGGGCAAGCCCACCCCACAGCAGCGCCTCCTGTCCTGCATGACTGGGCCCGGTTCCCTGCTCGGAGCGTTGCAACATGGCGCACAGGGTCAGCACCGCTGAGGTTTGGCCTGGCCTCCCCTCCGTCGTGATGACAATGGGGTGGCCAGGCCAAATTTGAGTGAGTGGCGCTGCAGCCCTGTGTACCTGGGTGCAATGTCCAAAGCAGGGAGCCGGGCCCAGCCCCTTGGGAAAAGAGCCACTTCTGCAAGTGAATTTGTTTAAAAGAGAACTGGATAAATTCATGGCGGTTAAGTCCAGTAATGGCTATTAGCCAGGATGGGTAAGGAATGGTGTCCCTAGACTCTGTTTGTCAGAGGGTGGGGATGGATGGCAGGAGAGAGATCACTTGATCATTACCTGTTAGGTTCACTCCCTCTGGGGCACCTGGCATTGGCCACTGTCGGTAGACAGGATACTGGGCTGGATGGACCTTTGGTCTGACCCAGTACGGCCGTTCTTATGTTTTATTTTGTGTTAGTTCCTATTTGCAAAAAATCCGTGGGGCCCTAACTATAATTAGAGCCACCACTAGAGGGCGCTGGAACACTCTGTTCACATGTGACTGCCAGGGGCTCCTTGGGGGTCAGCTCCTTAGAAGCTCCCAGTGATCTGGAAAATGACGAGACCCTCCACCCCTCCCTCAGGCTGGGAGCACCAGGGAGGCCATACGCTCAGCCCACAAGGTGGAGGGGCTCACTGTATTCCCACTAGCCACCGCCTCTGGAAAGGAGGTCTCCATGAAGCGAGACCCTGGTGGGGAGGAGGGACAGATTCCATGCTAGGAAGCGGGGTGAATGGGAAGTGATCTGCTGTACTCTGCGACTCTCCTGTGTTCGTTAGTGGTGCGGTTCCTCCATGGGTCTGATGCTGAGTGGGGAGGGAGTGTCTCCCACCCCCGCCTGACCAGCTCACCACCCTTGGTGTGGAACTGAACTACAGGCTATGGGAGATCTGTGGGCCCCAGCATGTGGGTGGGTGAGCCGGAAGGGCTGCTGAGAGGAGGGAGAGTGCTGTGGGAGCTGAGGGCACTGAGTGCTGGTGCAGGGGGTTCTGGGCCAGAGGACGGGTTGATTCCTAGGGTTGGGGGAGGGAAAGCCCCGCCACGGGAGGCAAGAGCTGCAGAGCCGGGGGAATGGGGCTTAAGGGCCGGCTGGGGAGCGGTGCTGCAGGGGGCTGACAGCTGTGGGTTACCCTGGCGTCTGCAGCATTACGATGAGGAGGAAGAGGAGGATGACGAAGACGATGAAGACAGTGAAGAGGATTCCGAGGACGACGAGGACATGCAGGACATGGACGAGATGAACGATTATAACGAGTCCCCGGACGATGGGGAGATCAATGAGGTACGTTGGGGTGGGGCCTGGTGAACCTCAGCAGCCGAGCCACTCTCGCGTCCACAGATCCCAGCGCGTGGGGGGACACACAGAGAGGTGGCTGGGATCTGTGGACGCGACACCACCCAGCTACGTCCATCCCCCAGCAGGGAAAGCAGCGATACCCAGGCAGGGGAGCAGGACAGGTCAATCTGGGAGTTTCCCTAGCACCCCCGAACCCCACGTGGGAACGAGCTGCCTGATCATCCAACCCCAGCTCCAGTCTCTGTTCCTGACACTGGGCTGATGAAACAACCTGCACAGATGCCTCACAGGACCCCCCATCGCAGGGGTCTCCAGGCAGCTTCCTCTCACTTTCTCAGCCCTGCTGGTAAATCCCTCCCCCTTGCTGCAGGAGCCCTGTCGGGAGCCGGGAGAGCTCCAGGGATTGGTATTATTTCCGGAGACCGGGAGCAATTCCAAACGGTCTCAGTGACTTTTCCAGTCACCCCCCGGGAGCTGGGGAATATCACTGTCCCAGGGCTTGGCTACACTTGCGAGTTAGAGCGCATTAAAGCAGCCCCGGGTGCCCTAGCTCACTCCCCGCCCTCGCTGGCAAGGCACGTAGAGCGCTCTGACTCCAGGGCTACAGCACTCCTGGTATTCCACCTCGGCGAGAAGATTAACACTTGTTGCACATTGGCTGAAACGCCCGGGTGTCAGTGTGAACAAGGTGTTGCATTACTGCGCTCTGATCAGCTGCAAGTGTCTGACAGACTGGGGCACAAAGATGCTGGTTTGTCCCATGTCACTTAGCAGCGGAGTTGAGAATAGAACCCAGGAGTCCTGCCTCCCATTTCCCGTCTCTCCCTCCCACAACGTGTCCCTTCTGAGGGCCAGCCTCACTGTGGGCTATCCGCTGGGAATGGACTTGGGAAAGCTGAAGGACTATCCTTCCTGTGTCGTTTGCCCAAGGTGGACATGGAAGGAGCTGAGCAAGACCAAGACCAGTGGATGATCTGACCCGGCTGCATCTTGACCAGGTTAAAGGCTGCTGGCGTCCGCTGGAGCTGAAAGAGGGTAGGAGAGCTCTCCTTTCTGGCTTGGCATTGCCTACGGGCATCAGATGGGACGGCTCGTCAGCACAGGGTCTGATGAACAGCAGCACTTGGAAGCCCTGGTTAGGGAAGTGTCCCTACTGCTGTCTGTCTCGTGATTATTTTGTGAACAGAATCTGGCTCAGCCTCAGGCCCCACAATGGAGCCAGCTGGAGAGAAGCTTTCGGTCTCAGCGCCTGCCCATGTTACCTGCGCCAGGGCAGCTGCTGTTAACGTACAGCTCTACATGGGATCACGGGACGACCGGGGTGGGACAGAGCAGCCGGGGCTGGCTTTGTGCGTCTCTGGCGCTCACAGAAATGTGGGGGGTTTCCAATAAATAACACTTCAAAACAATTCTTCGAGGTTTTTTAATAGTAGTATTACAGTAGCACCTGGAAGTTCGCCCAGGATTAAGGCCCCAGTGTGCTGGATGCTGTACGTATATTTAGTAAGAGACCGTCTCTGTCACTTCATATAAAGGGGCATCGCCCTAGCATAGAGCCAGTGACCCAGGGAGCCGTTCTCATTTCACCTAATGGAGAGTAACCGGGATGCTCACCTGTCATTTCATTCCCAAAGTGACACATCAGAGAGCGCTTTACAAACCCCACTGTAACGTCAGTCTATCGCACTGGGCCCAGGAAGTCCCCGGCGGCCAGGCAGTTTAGCTCAGCAATAAGTGGCCCGTCAGTGGCTTTGTTACAGTCCAAAAAACAGACAAAACCAACATGTTTCTCATGGGTTGGCTCACACGGCCACATCTGGTCAGCAGCCTTTGCAGTCAGGATGCCCTGAGATAGGCCCCCGATTGCCGTGAGGCAGGAGCCCAGTGCACGAGTCGTGTAGATATGGGTGTGACGTTACGCCCCGTATTCTTCATAGAAATAGGGTTATGATACGAATATGGTATAACTAAGAGAGACTGTGCAAGATGGGTCTTGTACGATATCAGTGGAAAGGTTATGATTTACTGAATGTGTTTATCCAATTTGTATGCATGTATCATTGCTGTATCTGAAGCTGGGAATATTGACCATGTCTCTGTATTTCAAATGGGCTACGTTGGATGAGGCCAAACAATGTTAGTGGCTTATTGAGGAAATGCACGCAAGCGCTACCCCAGGAACTGTGTGCAATAGAAACCTCTCAGAGATAGCTCTACAGAATGGGAATTCTTTGACCCAGGTCACAGCAAAAAAGCTTTCCAGTAAGTGGGGGGAAGATATAAAAGAGGGACGATGACAACGTGAGGGGTCCTCACTCTCCCTACAACAACACAGCTGAAAACACCTGAGGAACAAAGACTGATCTGGGAGAAGTGATGGTCCCAGGCTAAGATCTTTAGCTTGTGTAAGAAAACCTGGGAAAGCCGAGGCAACTTGTGCCTTAAGAATCTGCCAGCCCGTTTGTCACTGAGGGTGAGAATTTGTTCATTTGTATCCTACCTATCTAGTGTGTTAAGCGCAGTCTGGGGCTTTTGTTCATTTACTAAGGTAATCTGCTTTGTTCTTTTGCTATCCCTTTAACCTTAAGATTCACCTTTCGTGCCTGTCACAGTGGGCCCCAGTAATAAAGCTCACTTTGAGATCTGCTTGGCCCCAAAGGCAGGTGTTTGGCTCCATCCATTAGAGAGGGTGGGGCGAGACACCAAGTTTGGCTCCAGGCCCAAAGTTGGGGGGTGGATGGATGTGGGGCTGGGTTGGTCCTATCTCAGGCTCACTACAGTGTGCAGAAAATGCTTAGCACTTAGCCAAACACTTCAAAGGGCTTTCAGTGGCAGTGCAGTGGGTAAGGTACTTATCTGCCCCAAGTTAAGACCATACAAACGGCCATAGTGGGTCAGACCAAAGATCCATCTAGCCTAGTATCCTGTCTTCCGACAGTGGCCAATGCCAGCTGCCCCAGAGGGAATGAACAGAACAGGTAATCATCAAGTGATCCATCCCCCGTTGCCCATTTCCAGCTTCTGGCAAACAGGCTAGGAACACCATCCCTTCCCATCCTGGCTAATAGCCATTGATGGACCTATTCTCCATGAACTTCTCTAGTTCTTTTTTGAACCCTGTTATAGTCTTGTCCTTCACAACATCCTCTGGCAAGGAGTTCCACAGGTTGACTGTGTGAAGAAATACTTCCTTTTGTTTGTTTTAAACCTGCTGCCTGTTAATTTCATTTGATGGCCCCTAGTTCTTGTGTTAAGAGAAGGAGTAAATAACACTTCCTGATTTACTTAAGTCCCAGTCTTATTAATCTCTCCTCATACAGCAGCAGTTCTCATCCTAATTTTTGTTGCCCCTTTCTGAACCTTTTCCAAGTCCAATATTTATTTTCTGAGATGGGGTGACCACATCTGCATGCAGTATTGAAGATGTGGGTGTACCATGGATTTATATAGAGGCAATATGATCTTTTCTGTTTTCTTATCTGTAACATACAATAGTATCTGAGCTCATCACAAGCCACAATGGATTTATCCTCTCTCACCCTAGGCACAGCAGTGCAGTTATCCCCATTGTACAGAAGGGGAACTGAGGCATGGGGAAAGTGGGACCTAGCCCAAGCAAGTCCGTGGTAGAGCAGGAAATTGAATTCAGCTCTAAGTCCCAAGTTAGCACCCTAACCCCTGGACCATCCTTCCTCACTGTAGGAGCTTAGCACCTTCCATCTATGATAGATCAGTCCATATTTCACTCTAAACTCTGCCTTGTATCGCCATCTCCTAGGGTCAGAGTTCAGGTTACAGGGTGATCTTTTTGGGATTTATTTAAATATTGTGTCTGGAGGGTGGAGATATACCTATCTCATAGAGCTGGAAGGGACCTCAAAAGGTCATCGAGTCTAGCCCCCTGCCTCACTAGCAGGACTAAGTACTGATTTTTGCCCCAGACCCCTAAGTGGCCCCCTCAAGGATTGAACTCACAACCCTGGGTTTAGTAGGCCAATGCTCAAACCACTGAGCTATCCCTCCCCCCAATTAAGTGACTTTTGAAGCCTGAGAGAGGAGATGTGTCCCTCTGGCTTTACTATCTGTTTTTTGTAAATGGGGTTTAGGAACCTTTTAGCACAGAGAGGTGAAATGACTCGCCCAGTGAGCCAGGAACAGAGCCCCGGCATCCTGCCACCCTCTCTGCTGGCCCGGGTGGTACACGCTCCGGCCTGCTTGGCTCAGGGAAGCCAGCTGATTACACTCAGGAGAACCAGCCAGTCACTAGTCCATGCTCTGTGCTCAGACCCATCTCCCAATCCCAGCTGAACCATAGGGTTCTGGTGGCCCTGGGTAACAATGGCAGTCCAGAACGTGAATGGTGCTCATAGTAACCGGCGGGGGGCGGCAGAGCAGGAGAGCTTGGCGTCACATGGGGGAAAGGGGTTGCTTCCTAGGGTGGACACCCCCTGCAGGCTGCTTTGCTGCGCGCTGAGGGTCAGCCCAGCACTGCACAGGAACCCCGGAAAGACAAAGGCCCTGTCGCAGGACACAACAGGAGGGCCGGGATGACGGGGCTGCTTTCTTCTGGCCCTTTAAATCTCCAGAAAGGGAAAGTTTGGAGGAGGGATTTGAAAGGGGGAGAGGGGGCCTAATGCCCGTGGGGGAGGGGCTAGGTCGGCAGTCCCAGGTGGAGGAGAAGGCATGAAGACAGGAGCAATGGGAGTGGGGCGAAAGGAGGCGAAAGGTGGGGGGCAAACAAAACCTCTTTGAGTGGTGGTTGCAGCCTGGGTGTGTGCACGCGTGCGCCGCTCGTTCATACAGTGCAGCAGACCCATCCGGGAGACTCCCGTTCCTTCACAAACAGTGCAGCTTGCGTGGACCTGATTCTCATCTCACAGCCGCTGGTGTGAACGCAGAGTACTCTGGAGTCGCTCTGGACTCACGCCAGTGGAAATGAGAACAGACTCGGGCCCCATCTCTCCCTATACACACAGAGCAGAGACGGGCTCACGTACAGATCTGGGGCAGCGTGGCGAGGCCATACGCACGTGGGCACACACCCAGCCCCAGCCTTTGGGCATCTCTACATGGCCCCCAAGCCCAGACACCCCTCAGCTCTGGTGCAGCACTGGCTGGACCCCTGGCAGGGCAGGACGAGGCCCAGCCTGGCAGGGCAGGACGAGGCCCAGCCTGCCAGCCCCACCTTGGCCGCGAGAGCTCAGTCCAGGCCGGTGTAGGTGAGTTCGGCCATGCCGTCGGGGATGGCCCGGAAGTACTCCAAGCTGGTCCTGTGCATCTTGCACTGGTACTTGCCACAGGTCTTGACGTACTGCAGGAAGTGGGGCGCGCCAGGGAAGACCACGTTGTCGGCCACAATGGTGGCTCCCTCGAGCAGCAGGCCGTGGGCCTCCAGCAGCTGCAGGTCCCGCAGGTAGCAGCGCTTCCAGTGGTCCATGAAGACAAAGTCGGCCTTGAGCAGCCCGTGCTTCTCCTTCAGCTGCGGGATCACCTCCTCCGAGGCGCCCACAATCAGCTCCACCTGCGCTGGGGAGAGGCGGGGAGGTCAGCGGGGAGTCCCCCCAATGAACAGCATGGCTCTCCTGCGGGATCTCACGGCACGGTGCAAACCGAGGGGCCAACCAGCCTGGGATCGGCCCTTTAAAATGCAACTGTCTCTGGGGCGGAATTCAGCAGTTTGTTCAACAGCCAACTGGAACGCTGCTCGGCTGTTTGAGACAGACAGTGGAGAGGAGTAGCTCAGCCAGTTGAAACCACAGGGGGACTGGAGGCAATTGGCACTCAGATCGCACAGTCTGGGGAAGTGAGGCTATGAAATTGGGCGTTAACCAGTGTCTTGGCCAAATTCCGAGCCAAGGAATTCTGTTCTCCCATCTGCAATTCCCTTGGCTGGGGCCTATGCTGGCGGCTGCCTCCCTGGTGCTGGAGCAGAAAAGCTGTTGGGTTCTGCCCCCAGAGCCACTCTCTCCTGGCAGCCTCTTTTCACTGAGGCTAGTTCAGAATAAGCTGGGAGGCAGCCATGCCTCTATAGTCCCTGGAAAGCACTGGGGGAGGGGGCTACTCACAGTGTCCTCGTCGAAGCCGGCCAGGCGGATGACCTTCTCGGCCACTGCGGCATTGCGTGGGTCCATCTCCACGGTGTAGAGCCGGGCACCCATGGGCAGACACTGGGCCATGAGGATGGTGGCGTAACCACAGTACGTGCCCAGCTCTAGCACGGTGAGCGGCGTGTTCTCATAGATCAGACGGTCCAGGATCTTACCTAGAGGGCAGAAGGAGCCTTGCCAGGTCAGCTCACCTGGAGACGCGCGCCCCCTCCAGCCCCACACCCCAAGTAACCCACCCAGAAGGTGGAAAAGCCTGATGGGGCCATCTGGGCTCCCCAACCTTGACCAGGGCAGGACTGTCCCCTGAGGTCTGTTCCCCAGGGCTCTGTCCTCTCCAGTTCTGAACACCCCAGGTAACACGGCTCCTAACTGGGGGAACTGTTGTAAATCAAAAAGAGTTAAATCACCAATTTTAATCGGCAAGGAGGAAACCTTGTTTTAAATCATCAATTTCAATCACGTTTTGCATTTGTACTTTTTAGTTACGTTTCCTCATGAAAGATTGCGGCTCACTGGTTTGTTACCATTGAAACATGTTGAGTTGCAAATAAATCTAGCTTCTATAACTAAATGGGAAGCTTGTTTTGCCAACCCGGAGGCTGAGCGACGGCTATACACATTGATTCAAGCAATGACTTCGCTTCACGGGCATTTATTTAGATTCTTCATTTTTAGGTTTTTTTGTGTTAGAAAATTGTGAATGTTGCATTTCCTTTTACTAGATGATTAACTTTTTACTTGTGATTTGTGTGAAGATCTATTTGAATAGAAATTCAAATTCAATTAAAAATGCAAAAAAAAAAAGAAAAATTTAAACTAAAACTACCTTACATATGCTCAGGGCTGCCGAGGGCGGGTTCGGGCCCCCTAGCAAGGGCGGTCAAAAAATGTTTTCGGGTCCCCCAGCAAGGGCGGACCAGCTAAACAGGGCCAACGAGAGCGGGGGGAAGCCGGGCCCCAGGCCCCCTTCCGGACCGCTGGGCTCCGGTAAGGCGACGAGAGGGGGGGGAAGCCGGGCCCTGGGCTTCCTTCCGACTGTCGGGCCCCGGTAATTTCTACCGGCTTCCCCCCCCCCCCCCCCCACTCATCGGCCCTGCATATGCTGCATACATAAGAAAAAAAAGTTTATCAAAACATATTTTTTATGTAAAACTAACTGATTTATTAAACAAAGGAAGTATGATGTGTAGTTAGTGAACTGAACTGATTGTTTCTGGTCACCACGTCCTTCAAGATTTTAGAACTAGTCGATCTCACCCTCTCACATACCTAGTTTTTATTCAGAGATTGGAAAAGTAATACAAGCTTTCCTGCTTTTTCAATTCCCACCTGGTTTAGGACATTGAATGAACTAGTCATTGAACCAAACTGGCTGAATAAACTGAAATGAAGAAAATATTCTCGTTGCAGCTGTAGAAAAGGCTACTGGTGTCACAAGCTGGTTTAGCCCTTCAACAAACTCTGGGTCCAAGGTCCGGTGGCTTCCACCGGTTCAGTAATTTCACTTTTTTAAAAACTTGGCAGCAAACATGCACTGCTTAGTATTTTGTGTATTTAATTTAGATTCTAATAAATTATAATAAGTTTAGGCCTTAACATAGGTTGCCAATTTCAAATTTAATTTTAAATAGGTTTATTTAAATCAAAATAAACCTTGTATTTAATTTAAATGTTAAAAAAATCCAATTTAAATAAAATAAAATCTGTTTTTTTTAAATAATCATCCTTTTTTATCCATCCTGGCTCTCAGCCTCACCATCTGAGTGACGCTTCCCAGAGATCCTGTTCTTGGGACAATGTCTTTGAGAGGCTACCGAAAAGTCCCACTTCACCCCATTACTTCCAGCTGTTTCTAAGGAGGCAGAATGGCCTTGTGGTCAAGACACAGGGTTTGGCATTAGAGCTCCTAGGTTCTGCTCCCAAGTGCTGCCACAGTGATCTCAGGCAAGTTACTTTCCTGCTTGGTGCCTCAGTTTCCCTGTCTGCAAGGAAGGTAGCAGTTAGAGGCTAGTGTTTGTACAGGGCCTTTAGGTGCTGTGTCAGTGCTGAATAATAATAAACATTTGGCGCTCCTTGAAGGGTAGGTGCTAGAATAGGGCAAACTCTGAGTTTTCTTCACTGCCTTAAATGATTTCCCCCACTCCTTGACTTTTTACACCCTGGCCTGTGTCTGGAACTCAGTTTACAAGTGGCTTTGCTCAATTCCTCGAGTAGATCAGACTCTGTCCAGCAGAGGGCGATGATGACATATACATAGCGGCTCTTATAAATAGTCCCCATTCCTCACACCCACCCATATCCCATTCCTCCCAGGAAAGCTCTAATGGGGGGGTGATGCTGCTGGAGAGATTCCCCTCCCCGGCTCCCCACCAGCTAACAGGGAATGCAGCCCCCACTGCTGATGTCCCCCGTTGTTCAAGGGGAGGCGCTGGGTTAAGCACAGCTTTGCTCCTCCCAGGGCCGGCTCCAGGCACCAGGCACCCAAGCTGGTGCTTGGGGCGGCACCTGGAGGGGGGCGGCGCGGCGCTCCGGCCGCCGGGGAGAGCGGGGCCACAGCCGGGCTCGCCGCCCTCCCCCCAGTGCTCTGGCCCCGGCCGCCGGGGGGAGAGCGGCGAGCCCCTCCCGGGGCTCGCCGCCCTGCGCTCTGGCCACTGGGGGGAGAGCCGAGCCCCAGCCGGGGCTCGCCACCCTCTCGCCGCCCTGCCTCCGGCGCTCTGGCCGCCGGGGGGAGAGCCGAGCCCCTGCCGGGGCTCGCCGC